TTCTTCTTCTTCTTCTTCTTCTTCTTTTTCTTCCTCCTCCTCCTCCTCCTGTTGTTGTTGTTCTTCTTCCTTTTCTTCTTCTTCTTCCTCCTCTTCTTCTTCTTCTATTATTATTATTATTATTATTATTATTATTATTATTATTATTATTATTATTATTATTATTATTATCTTTCATGAATGAAAGCCTGAGCGTGGAAGCGGGCTCCCCAGAGACCCCCATCAGCCTCCCCTCCGGGAGGAGCCGGCGCCTGCCCGCTCGCCCGCCCGCCCGCCCGCCGCCTCGGCCTCTCTGATGCGCCTGTGCGCGCAAGGCAGGAGCGCCAGGGAGAGGCGGGCGACGGGAGTGGCCAGTAGCGCAGGGCAGGGGCGAGCGAGCGAGCGAGCGAGCGCCGGAGAGACGGGCGGGGGGGGGGAGAGACCGAAGCCGAGGCCGGAGGAGCATCAGCACCGCCGCCGCCGCCGCCGCCTCCGTCCATCTTCTGCAAGCCGGCCGGCCGAGCAGGTGCGGCGGCGGAGGGCGGTGGGGAGGCGGGCAAAGCGCATCGGCGGCGCCTCCGCCAAGATGTTGGAGATCCAGCTGGACGATGGCGGCGTCGGCGGCTACCCGGGGGACGACTACTGCTCGGGCTCGGTGATGTCGGAGCGCGTCTCGGGCCTGGCCAACAGCATCTACCGCGAGTTCGAGCGCCTGATCCGCTGCTACGACGAGGAGGTGGTGAAAGAGCTGATGCCGCTGGTGGTGACGGTGCTGGAGAACCTCGACTCGGTGCTGACCGACAACCAGGAGCACGAGGTGGAGCTGGAGCTCCTGCGGGAGGACAACGAGCAGCTGCTCACCCAGTACGAGCGGGAGAAGGCGCTGCGCAAGCAGGCCGAGGAGGTGAGCCGGGCGGGCAGAGGCCACCCCCAACCTCCCCACCACCCCCACCACCACCCCCGAGGGCCAGCCGGAGGCCCGGACTTGGCCTCGGAGCTTCGGGGGTGGGAAGGCTGCGAGGCCTCTCCGGCCCTCTGACTCGCGCGTAGAGCCGCGGGGCTTTCCCTTCCGCTGCAGCTGAGCATCCATCCCTCCACCCCTCCTCCCCATCCTTATCGCCAGATCAGAGCCTCCAGAGGACTAGCCGCTTCTTCCGTGGCAGGGACTGATTTATTAATGCTTGGGAGCTTTCATAGTCCTTGGACCCGGTTCCTTGGGGAACGAGGGGGAGAAAGCAGCTCCCCCTGCAAGGGGCTGAGTTCCAGCTAGCTATTCAGCCGTGTTCAGGCTGGGCTGTGTCTGAAAAAAAGGGCTCTGGCTGCTGTTTCTCTTAGGGTGGATTAAAAAATTACACACACACAAAAATGAAAGCAGGTGTAGAAAAGCATTGGAAGAGCATTGGAATCTGGAGGCATCTGGGAGCTGGAAGGGGTCCTGAATTGGCTTTCTTGAAGGGCAAAGGAAACAGAAAAAAAGGGTGGCTTGGAAATCTTCCTTAATTTAAGGGGGGGGGAAGAGGGGGAAGGGAAATGAAGTTGGCTTCCGATGAATAAATGACACGGTGGGGAAGAGTTTGTTTTCCCCATCATCGCTTTTCCCCCAACCTGATCAAACTAACGGTTCTGGGCCGGCCATCCCTTTTTCCTACCTCCAGTGCGTCAAATCGTCTTTCAGAAGTTTTTGCTTCTCATTCTCATCATCAACCTCGATGAGCTGTTCTGCTCGAGGTAATTGTCATCCAACAATCGGAGAGCTTGTTTGGCCTAGTACAGGGGTGTCCAACCTTGGCAACTTTAAGGCTCGTGGACTTCAACTCCCAGAATTCCTCAGCCAGCAAAGCTGGCTGAGGAATTCTGGGAGTTGAAGTCCACGAGCCTTAAAGTTGCCAAGGTTGGACACCCCTGGCCTAGTAATTAAGGCACCAGGTTAGAAACCAGGAGCCGGTGACTTCTAGTGCCGTCTTAGACATGAAAATTGGGTGATTTGGGGCCAATAAGACTAGGAGATCATGTGTTCTAGTCCACCTTATGCTTGAAAGTCAGTTGGGTGACTTTGGACCAATCACCAGGAGACTCTGAGTTCTAGTCCCGCTTTAGGCATGAAATTGGCTGAGTGATCTTGGGCTGGCAGGTCTGTCTTAGCCCAACCCACCTCACAAGAGTTGTTGTAGAAAAAATAGGAGGAGGAAGATGTATTATGCATATTCACGGCCTTGAGTTAGATATAAAAAAATAATAGAAGTGGGATAAAAAAGCCGTTAAAAAACAAAACAAAACTAGAGGTTGCTAGATGTGGGAACTGCTAGTATATTACGGAGGCATTCATCCAAATGCGTTTTCCATTCCTCTTGGCAGTTAACCAAATAGATTGGCTTGTCCCTTTATTAATTCCCATCTCAAAATGTGATAATTTATCTTTGGAGGACGTCAGAAAGTCACCCAGCTAGTCTTTTGAAAAATATGTTTTATCTGTCCCAATTTTTGAAAATATGCTCTCTCTTTTTTTTCTATTTTCTAAATTTTCATTTTCAGAAGTTTAGCTTGCTTCCTAGCGATTATCCTTTCTTCCATTTAGCATTGGGATATATCACCTATGCCTTTCTTAGCCTAGTAAAAGAAATGTTTGGAGCTGATAAAAATGCCAGAAAAAATATACTTTCTATCATTGCATGGATGAAAAAGATACATTTGTAAACATAGGAAGAAGCAAACACAGAAAGGGCTTTCTTTGGTGGTGGCAAGTGGCCAGAAAGTGCATCTGAATAACTTAGTAGATGCATTTGATCTGCAAGGATTTCTTGACTCCTCTAAATTAAATTTGAACTGCTATGTGAATCCAGCTGTTCCAGCAACTTGGATCTATCTGCTTGTTGAGAGAAAAAAAAAGCCAAAATAGAGCTACAAATTAAAATCATTTCACCCAGTGACCTGATTCATTTAGTGTGCACTGTTTAGTATGTTATTTTAGTTCAGAAACTATTAGTTTCTAGCAATGGTTTCAATCTTCATGGGTCATGTAATCTTTAGCAGATTATTTTTTCCCTACAAACCATGGTTAGGCAATAAACAGATCTGGTCTAGGGTGGGTAATGGGTTTCTGAGAATCTTCAGATTGCTTTTCTACATCACAGTTACCTTCTAATCTCTTCCAATTTTGTCCCACAATTTTGTAGACTGGAAATGTGGTTTCAATTTCATTATTTTGAAATGTTGCTTTATTGATGATATCTTGCTGAGATGGGAAACTAGGAGTTTCAACATTGAAGATGGTGCTGTCAGGGTGAATCTTTTTTATTTTTCCAGATTTGTCTTTCTTGGATGTGTCTTCCTATTAAGTCAGCAAGGAAACCTGGTCTCCCATTGTATTTCTACTGATGATGCGGCTAGGATTGAGATGGGCAGCTGTCCATTGAAACAGAAATGAGAGCTCCCACATAATTACATCCCCCATTTCTATAAAAGCTCTTTGTGGCTAACACGCTCTTGACAACCGTTGAATCGCAAGTGCGTTCATACAGTTCCTTTAATCTTGCCTAAATTAGAAACAAATCCAGTTTCTTATTCTCGACAACTTTCAGTACATTTTTTTATGACTGTGATCTTGCTTTAAGTAGGGTGAGCTCACAAAATATTATAATCACGATCCAGGCAAAGAGAAATTTATCTCCTGTATGGGGCATGTGTGTAGGCTTATGCTATTGAAGTTGTGCTGATTTCAAATAACTATATTAAGATAGCTGCCTGCTTCTCTGGATAAAGCAATAAGAGAAATTTGCTATATTTTGAGTGAGCCAGATCTCTAGAGCCCAAGATTAGGGAAGAAAATTATGAGTACCACAGAAGTACTGAAAGAGAACAAGCTGCATTGTGTTTATATGTTAGCTGGGTTAGGCTCAGCACCAATAATCTGGGTATTTTGGTTTTGATTTAGCATATACTTGTGAACTAAAAATATGTAAACCTATCAGTTATCACTTAATATCTTATTCCTGTGCAAGAGTGGCGGGATTCAATTTTTTTTTTTTTTTACTTTCGGTTCTGTGGGTGTGGCTTGGTGGGCATGGCTTGGTGGACATGGCAGAGGAAGGTTACTGCAAAATCCCATTCCCTCCCCACCCCACTAACCTGCTTTCCAGCTCCGTTCTCCTGTGCAGGACAACAGAAGGAGACCCAGCCGATCAGCTGGGACTCGGGAGACAGAGAAGAGATGGGGGCAGGGTCAGTCAGAGGTGGAATTTGCCCGTTTTCCAAACTACTCAAAATGTCTGCTACCGGTTCTCCTGAACCGTTCAGAACCAGCTGAATACCACTTCTGATGTGCAGCCATTATGACTCAATAAACCATGGTTAACAAGAATGATGGCATAGTGGAAATCAGTTTTATTGGTTTTTGCAATTTTCTAATAGACAGTTGTGAGAATAGGAGAAGAAATATGTGCAAATGTGATAGAAAGGTGAGGGTGAATCTCCCTAAAATTCCTAGAAAAACACATAAAATTGTCCTGGATTTTCCTGCTTTCTTAACTGAGATTTCTTTTCCCTTCCCCCAAACTACATGTCTGTATTTAGATGGACCAGAAAAGAAACCAATAAAATGTGCTTTCCCGCTCCTTTTCTCTTTGTGTGAACCAGGAAAGAGCTTCTCTGAAATGTTTTCTCAAATTACTTTCTTGGCCCAAGGTCAGGAAACTTTCATCTGGCTTGGTTGTCCTCTTATCCTTCAAATCCATTTCCTTTGCTCCCTACACAAATGTCTGTATATCTATCACAAACATGACATTCCTGAAATCGTGGACGGGGAAAGAGAATTTGTTAATCTGTGCTTACTGTACTATACGTATCCTTATTCACCTCAGTGGCTGAATACCAGAGTCTTCCAGTCGAAGCAAGTTCTGGGAGCTGAAATCCATACACGTCAACCTGGAAATTGTTTTGGTTGGGGAAACCCTGTTACATATAGGACCTCTTGTCGACATCCAGCTTGAGTATCCAAATAAAAGTCCAGGGTCTTTTTCATTTATGAAAACCTTACCGGTTTATTGAATATATAGCATGGTATTGTGGAAGGAAAACTAACTCTGAAATTCTCTAGCACCAGTTCATGGTATTAGACAATGAATTTCCCAGCCCAACCTCAACATAAACCATGTAAACCAGTTATCTTATTATGGGAACCATCTGTCTCCTCCTTCACACCTGTTAATATGTCCTTGAAAAGTTCCCAGACTTTCACAAGCCTCCGTGAGAAGTTTCGTTTCTCCAACTAACCCATTTGTAATCCCCTCCCTTTACCATAATGACAACTTGCAACGAATGAGGCATGTAGCTGCCAATGCTTCGCCTTTACAGTCAGAATAGAATAGATTTTAAGCCTTGATGTAAGGTGTTTGATTTTGACTTGGCTTTAATGAACACATTTCAGTAAACTATGATTAAAGAAACCAGAATATTTGGGAACCCGGTCTTAGTATTCCATACAATCAATTTCCTGACAGTGAGAACAATTAATCAGTGGAACAACTTGCCTCCAGAGTTGTAAATTCTCCAACACTGGAAATTTTAAAGAAGAGATTGGATAACCATTTGTCTGAAATGCTATAGGGCTTCCTGCCTAAGCAGGGGGTTGGACTAGAAGACCTCCAAGGTCCCTTCCAACTCTTGTTATTCTATTCTATTCTATTCTATTCTATTCTATTCTATTCTATTCTAAGCTATTCTATTCTGTTCTATTCCATTCCATTCCATTCCTATTCCTATTCCTATTCCTATTCTATTGTGTCTACTTAAAATAACATTTATTATTAGGATCAGTAGCAGCATCCTCTGAGATGACCAATGCAAAAAAAAGGTCTTGGTCCCTCTAGCTAGAAATGCCAGATATTCCACTTAGAAATCATACCCTGATAGAAAAGAGGAAAAAAAGCTTATTAATACTTGTTAATTTGTGAAACCGATTGCCACCGACCGTTGTTTAAAAGAGATCAAATTGACATGAGTCTAGGCCTTTTGCCTATTTAGCAGCATATTGTTTAAACAGGAATATGGCTCTCTGGAACCTAGCCAAAGGATTTTCACATCATCTGCTACTAGAATCTTTTTTTAAAACCAAATACGTATTGGAGCATTCTGTCTTCAGAGTGTATACCATTTCCACTGAGCTGCCGTCCTTCCCCAATTGGCCATTTGCAGCTTATGACTTAAATTGGCAGAAGAGAAATAAAAATCCGGGGTTCAGAGTTTCTGTAATAAAAGATTCTAGTAAGGTTTGGCTTTGAATGATAATCACGTTTGTAGACCTTGGTTCATTTCCAGTTCTTTGCTAGCATAAAATCAGAAACATTCAGGTAGTCAAGACTTCTGGATTGGTCTGTTTTTATTAAGGATACAATAGCATCACAAACAGCTCATGAATACACTGTTTTTACAGTACTGATAATTATTTTGAAGACTAACTTCTCTCTAAGTTTCCAGGCCAAGAAAGGACAATAGAATAGAATTCAGTATTTTAATGACAAAGAATAGAGACCTCAGGTATGCAATAGATTCCTTGTTGTCTCCTTTCTTCATTGGAGCTTTCTGAAAACCAAAGATGGATATTAAACAGAGTTTTTGTTTTATTTATTTTCCAGTTTCCCAAAATTTATCAGTTTTGATCACTTTGTCTTGCGAAAACAGTGAAGAAAAACAGTGGCACTCTGCCTGTTCAAAGGGCAGTGTCCTGATGGGTGAATGTTTTTCCACTAGGTAGGATCATGGTAAGAAGGTTGGCAATTCAAGGTGCTGTTTATTATCACCTTTAAAGCCCTACATGACATTGGGCCAGGCTATTTGAAGGACTGACTCTCACATCTAATAGAATTCTTTATTGGCCAAGTGTGATTGGGCACATAAGGAATTTGTCTTGGTGCAAATGCTCTCAGTGTACATAAAAGAAAAGATACATTTGTCAAGAGTCAAGAATCATCAGGTACAACACTTAATGATAGTCATAGGGTACAATAAGCCATCAAATCATACTAGGAAACAGTCAATAAAAATTGTTAGGATGCAAGCAACGTTACAGTCATAAGTGGGAGGAGATGGGTGAAAGGAAGGATGGGTGGATTAATAGTAATAGTAGTGCAGACTTCATAAATAGTTGGCGAGTGTTGAGGGAATTATTAGTTTAGCAGAGGGATGGCGTTTGGGAAAAAACTATCCTTGTGTCTAATTGTTCTGGTTTGCAGTGCTGTATAGCGTCGTTTTGAGGGAAGGAGTTGAAACAGTTTATGTCCGGGATGTGAGGGGTCTGTAAATATTTTCACAGCCCTCTTTTTGACTCGTGCAGTATACAGATCCTCGATTGAAGGCAGGTTCGTAGTAATTGTTTTTTCTGCAGTCCTAAAAAGCCCAACCAAGATGGTCATGTGACAAGCCCCATTGATTAGGGATGGTACATCTGGTGAGACCACAAAAAAGGACCTTCTCAGTGGTGGCTCCTTCTTTATGAAACATCATTCCCCCAAAGGTACAGTTGGCTCCCACCCTGTTGCTTTTTCAAAGGGCCATAAAAACACGGTTTTGTCAGAGAGCCTGGGGACCATGAATGGAGATGGAGCCAATCGAGCGGCTGATTTGATTGTGTTGTTGCTTTCACGGAAACTGGGCTGGTGTTTTTTTTAAATGGGTTTTGATTATTTGATGGATGTTTAAAAAAACAAATTGTAAATTTTGTTGGGCTGCTATGTAAATTTGTTTAATAATTAAAGGGTAAATTTTAGAGCCAGAGAGGAACTGGCCAATGACATTAGCATGGTTCAGCAACGGGAGTCCAACAGATGAAACCAAGGTGGATTGGGAATTGGTGAAGCAGAGAGCCGGTTTTATATTGGAGACTTTTGTACCAACACAAGGAGTGGTGGATAGTGCTTCAGACTGATAATGATGAATTGGCCGAAGTTATGCATAGTATAAAGATTGTAGATGTCTGTCCCAATATTTGTGTTTGGCTTCAGGTCTGAATCCAGCACTGTAGACAAAGGAAGAAATATTACAGTGCAGACAAAAAATATTTTTGTGCAAAGCCAAAATATTTTTTTTTTTTATAAAGAACAGCACCTCAAAATACTAATGAGTCCAGGTGACAGTTGCTATATGCTTAAAATATGCATTTTCATAGGAAAATTGCACTATTTGTAAGAAGGGACAATTTTCGATTGATTGCAGATTGTAGTAAAAGCCACAGTTTTTCTGCTCACATTATTTGTGTCTTCAATAGAAATTTATTGAATTTGAAGATGCACTGGAACAGGAAAAGAAAGAGCTGCAGGTTCAGGTCGAGCACCTGGAATTTCAAACACGGCAGCTGGAGCTGAAGGCCAAGAACTATGCCGACCAGAGTGAGTATAGCCATTGACAAAATTTGGTCATGTTTTACTGCATGCCGTACACAGATTTTGTTGAATTTGGTTGGATTCCCCTCAATGCATCATGAACTGCCAAATACACAAAGCACTAACTGGTTTCAGAGGAAAAATATTTACTGTGTGTTGACCCGGGCCGTGGCGCAAAGGCAACACAGTCACATAAGTAAGAAGAGTCCCTTTAATGCCTCCAAATTTGCCCCCAATGTCCTGGTTACCTTCTGGCTGGAGAAAAAATTATCCCAAGAACAGTCTTTAAGTGGAGGAAATTCAGTCCGAAAATGAAGTACGTACAAATTGTAACTAAAAATCCACACAAACCACGCTGCAGCAATTAACTTGACAGGGCAGGATAAAGAATTGCAGACTTGATAGCACAGCAAAACAAACACAGTTGGGAAGACGCCAGAAACCCAGATAAGCCTCGACAATACCAGATAATTCATGATTTGCTCCCAACAGTTTGCTGTGCACAACTTCGCTTTTTAAACACTGTGTTCCCAGCCGCAGCTAATGAAGGGAATCAGGGCCCTTTCCTCCCCGTTAAGCCACGCAACTCACATTGCTCCCTTCTCTGTTCCTCCCTGCATGCCCTAGGATGAAGAGGGGGTGGGCCTGGGTTTTCCTCCAAATTTCCTCTGCCTTGCCCTACTTCTCCCTTGCTCTGCCCAGCCGGACTTTCCCCTTCCCCAGTTTCTTCCACAGCCAATGGAGCCACACTCCCACACCCCGTCAGCTGCTCGGCCTCCCCCTCCGAATCAGATTCCGACAGGGGCATGACATACTGAATGTAAAAGGTTTCTGCTTCAATTCCTAAGTTTGCATAGGGAACCAAATCCAAATATTTATAAAGACGACACTTCATTAGATAGACCTTTGGTCTGACTAGGCTCAAGGTGTGGCTATTTGTAGCTTGGTTTAAAAGTTCAGAGACTGAATCTAAGATCTCTACCTGAAAAGTACATGCTGTATCAATTAAGCCACCAGGAAATTGAGGCACAACCTACTCTTTTGTTGATTTGTAATGTTACAACAAAGCAGTGGGAGTAAACTAGAGCAAGCTTGAAGAAGTATCCTCATTCCATTTACCACTTGTTAGTATCGTCTTTCTCAGAGATCTGTTTCTCCTCAACCCGCTTTCTTTTCTTTTTCTTTCTTTTTAAAATAATGAACAGTTTCCCGGTTGGAGGAGCGTGAATCTGAAATGAAGAAAGAATACAATGCTCTACACCAGCGGCACACAGAGGTATCTCCTTTACCAGGAGTGGATGAGAGCCGATTATTATTAGTTGGAATGTACAGGTCTAAAAGTAAACGTCAGCACTAACCCTAACTCCTTTCAGATGTATGGGACTGGATTCCCATCTCCTCTGATCTTCTGTTCTAGTGCGGTGGGTATTGGAGTACAGTAGCACTTAGCAATAGCACTTATATACCGCTTCACAGATCTTTCCAGCCCTCTCTAAGTGGTTTACAGAGTCGGCATATTGTCCCCCAACAATCTGGGTCCTCATTTTACCCACCTTGGAAGGATGAAAGGCTGAGTCAATCTTGAGCCAGGATTGAGCTCCGGACTGTGGGCAGAGTCAGCCTGCAATACCACATTCTAACCCCTGCACCACCAGGGCTCCTAATGCAACATCCAATCAACTATAGCAATAGCACTCAAACTTATATACCGCTTCATAGTGCTTTTACAGCCCTCTCTAAGTGGTTTACAGAGTCAGCATATTAGCCCCAACAATCTGGCTTCTCATTTTGCTGACCTTGGAAAGCTGAGTCAACCTTCAGCCGCCAAACTGCAAGCAGCTGGCAGGCTGCAGAAGTAGCCTGCAGTACCGCATTCTAACCACTGCGCCACCACAACTCAATCATAGCTGGAAGTTTGTAAGTTTTGTCTCTGCTGTACAGAAAAGCCAGAATGCTACTGCTGCTGCTGCTGCTATTATTATTATTATTATTATTATTATTATTATTATTATTATTATTATTATTATTATTTAAAAGAGAAGCCATTTTTCAGATCACAAAATGTTGGACTCAGGTACCACTCTAAATTGGAGAGAGAATCCACATTAAGTACCCTCTTTCTTTTTTTCTTCCCCTTCTTTGGCAGATGATCCAAACCTATGTGGAGCACATTGAGAGATCCAAGATGCAGCAGGTCGCTGGAAATAGCCAAAACGAGAGCGGTCTGTCTGGGAGAAGGTAAGGTGTGCCCCCGGGTTCTGCCCCCTAAGGAAGTGAGAGTTTCAAGGCGAAAAGGGCTGTTCTGATCTGGCCTAGATGCTTTTTTCCACGTGACCGAAATGAGCATCTTGGGACGATACATGAGCCAGGCTGCTTCTTTGAGCCTTTGGAAACAGGGTGAATTACGATGGTGGGATCTGCATGGGGAGAGGGAAGGAAAAATGCTTGAAATGCCTCTAGTTGTGTTACACAGCTTGTTCCCCTGTCGGCATGTTCCTTTGAAAAGTTGCTTTGGGTCTTCGTCTCCAGGAGGTTCAGTACTTTGTCCTGATGTTGTGAAGCATGATTTCAAACCAAAGGGTAGCAAATGTGAATGCATTTTGTACCACAGCAGAGTTTTTTTTTAAAATGATTTTAAAAGTTTGAATGTAAATTCCTTTAAGATATTCCCCGCAGCCCCTATTTTTTCCCCAATTTACTATTTCCTTCTTAAGAAGTCTGGCTTCTTTGAGATTAGAAACGAACACTTTAAAGTAGAGTCCAAAGGCCAAAATGTTGGAAATTATATTTGTGTCTTCCTGTTCTAGCTTAAGAGCTATAAACAGAGGCTATGCAAGCTTTGAAAATAATTTTGGAAGGAGCCCTTGGTGAGCATGAGATTAAATAAATCCCCTTGAAGTTAACGCTGCAACTCTTAAAGCAGCTGTACCATTTTTTAAAGCTTGCAAGAATTTTTTTTAAAGACAGGGCTCCTTCGCTGAAAAGCTATACTTGTACAGGTAGTCCTTGACAGCTGAGCCCAAAATTCCTGTTGCTAAGTGAATTTTGCCCCATTTGATGGCCTTCCTTGCCACAGATGCTGAGTGAATCACTCACTGCAGGTGTTAAGTTAGTAACACGGTCATTAAGTGAATCTGGCTTTCCCGTTGACTTTGCGTATCAGAAGACCAAAGAAGGGGACCGCATGAAATTAGGACACTGCAACTTCGTAAATATGAGCCAGTTGCCAAGCATCTGAATTTCACCCATGGACATAAGTGGGGGGAAATGGTCATAAGTCACTTTTTTTCAGTGCCATTGTAACTTCGAATAATCACTAAATGAATTGTTGCAAGTCGAGGACTACCTGGACAAGGACAAAAGCTTTTCTGATTCAATCTTAGCAGGTTGCAGCTTGTGGTGGGGAATGGAGCCCAATAAGGATTATTATCTGCAGCCTCTTGCTTTCGGGTGCCTTATGCCCTAGGCAGGGACAGGCCCTCCGTGAAATGGGGTTATAAATGACCAAGATGGGGATAGAACAGAGACTGAGATCATGGAGACAGCAGGAGCATTAATTTCTTCTACGTTGGGCATGTTGTCCATCTTTGGAGTGAATAGATGGGCTCGCTTCCGGGGGAGGGGAAAAGAACGTTGTTTAATTAAATCCCTACAGGGTGTGGGGTTTGGTGTCCTGTGTAAATCTTCTGTGACCCACCAACCAATGTCAGGAGTCTTAGTTCCTTCATCCCAGTCAATGCACCTTCTTGTGTATTTGGCTTGTATCTGGCTGGATTTGTATTCCACAGTTCCCCTTGCTTATCTCACCTCTGCATGTGGTTAGCGCTATGATTGTGCTTAGGGTTTTTTCTTTTTCTTTTGAAAAGTGGAGACATCCTGTATCCTTTAGAACAGGAGCGTGTGTATGAGCACAGAGCGTGTTCTGTCATTCCTGGATTTATTGAAGAGAGGCACATTTTTCGGTGTGAGGATGGGAGCACGCCAACGTGCCTTCCTTGTGATTTGCTTCCATTGGAGTTTCTTTCTATGAGTTTGAGAAGCTTGCCTTCTTTTTTTGCAAATCAAAAACAATACAGCAACAACTGATTCGGACAGGCAGGTTTTCTACAGCAGGGGTGTCAAACTCAAGGCCCGGAGGCCAGATCCAGCCTGAGGGGTGCTTAGAGCTGGCCCACGGAGCTGCCCTGAAACAGCGAAGAACTGGCCTGTGGTACCTCTGCCAGTGAAAACAGAATTCCTATGATCCTCCCGAGTTCAGTTTTCTCTGGTAGAGGGTTGCAGGAGGTCATTGCAGCTGAAACGGAGCTTGGGTACCTATTTTCACTAGTAGAGCACTTGGACCATCACATGAGTGACATCGAGCCGGCCACGTCCACTCTAGCCATGCCCATCCTGGCGTCCCGCGGTCAAACAGAGCCCCAGTGCGGCCCTCCATGAAATCGAGTTTGACACTCCTGTTCTATAGGGGGAGCACAAGGGATGATCCCTTAAGACAGTGTTTCCCAATCTTGGGCACTTGAAGATGTTCGGACTTCAACTCCCAGAATTCCCCAGCCAGCTCCCAGAATTCTGGGAAGTCCACACTTCTTCAAGTGGCTGGGGAACCCAACCTTAAGAAAATATTGTTAGAGTGTAATGACATATAAGAACATATAACTTTCTGGTCTGATTATGAAGTTCGAACTCATCCACAGATCTTGTGGATGAGAAGGATTCAACTTTTGAGATTTCAAAAACTCTTTATGTTATTGAGTGTGGGAGAAGTAGGTATAGGATGCATTGAACAGAGACGAAGAGTACTTCAAGCATTTTGCTAGTGGTATGAATGGTCTAGGAGAAACTAACTCCAAGAAGATGGTGATAGTTACTGCTGGGACAAATATGTCTGGAATGCCGATCATTAAAATGTGAAATAGTATGAAGCCAGATTTGAGAGTCATCCACCCCCTCTTTTCTGCTGTTCTTTTAAATCCTGCTATTTTTAAAGTTTTGAGGTTTTCCCTGAAATGTGGTAATTTGTAATCCACCTTGGGAACTCACTGATGGAATGTGTATCCCCCATTCCTAATAAATAGTTTTCAAGTTTTAGATGAAGGCAATCAAAAGCCAACCTATAAATTTACTTGTCACCATAAGAAGGAAATCAACAATTCTTATTAGAACATATAGTATATCTACCCTTGTATTTCCTGGTACAGTTTTAGGAAACATAGAGAAAATTGTCCGTAAGCCAGATGAAATATTACATTGGAAAACCATGATTAGAACTTCAGGAGTAGTTATTTCTACATAAAAGGAACTGATTTATTTTGGGATGTTTAATCCCTTCTTCTCTCTGCTTTCGTGATCTAAGCTCTGTAGGATTAAAAAAAAAGAAAGAAAAAGGAATCGCACAGAGAGAAATACATATTTATATATTCCTGAGATTATGAAAAGAGTTACCCATTAAGGGTTAGGTCCAGTGTGAGTCTTCCATTCAAGTCATCTCCGTCCTTCAATGTAAAATAAGTACATTATGGGAGATCTAGTCATGGGTCTTTCACATGTAACTATTATCTGTGTCAATACTATCAAGTCCACCCCCCACACCAAAAAAAATTCTTATTTGTCCCACCTCTAAGAAGAAGCTAGAGCTGAAAGCTATGATGTGTTCTTTGTTTCTGATCCCTGGCTTGTTTCAAAGAATTCTACTCCAAAACAAGAATTCTAGAAAATCTTGGCTTACTATATTTTGCAAATGTTATACAATTGCCATCTTCTGTCATGAATGCAGAGACCATTGTTCGAATGATAAAACTGTGGAATCGGTGTTGAAACGACTATTTCAAATCATTGCAAAGTGTCTTACGCTGATGTAACCAGACCAGCAGTGTAACTGTACATACAACAGTATCATCCTTGCTTCACAATGTGCTTGTGAGGTTCTGGGCTAGCATGTCAATCTCTGTTCAAATGAGCATGTTGTCTGAGCATGTCAATGCATGCTTGCATGACATTCGCACTCTAATGGTTGTTCTCTTGTCTTGCTTCTTGTGCCATTACCTGTCTTGTATTGGCTGTTCTCTGTTTGTCACTTCAGTCACCACCCATCATGGAGAAAAAGGTAATTTGGTGGACTCTTTCTAAGATGGGGAAGGGGTTGAGTTTTCATCATCATCATCTTCATCATGTTCACCATCGTCATGGAATTTCCGATCACCAGTCATAGTTTGCCATTCTGTACTGCTGCTAATTGGAAGTGGGACAATCTCTTTTCTGAAGACCAGAGAAAAACATTCCTGAGCCATGTTGAGCACAAGTGAATCAGGCCTGGTAGCCACACCTATCATCTCCATACATTGTGTTTAGAGGCCTACCTGCCCCAATGTCTGCTCTGGCACCATGTTTGAAGTAGAAACAACAGGCACCATTTAAAATGGTTCCTATTTAGATTGGCAAGATCTCAAATCTTGCAGTATTGGGTGATCTTATAATAGTTACATTTTTTCTTTTTAGTTTTTCAGCATTATTGCGGTGGGGTGTTGTGGGGAGCGGTTGATGTTTGATGCCCAGAGGCAAAAATTAACCAGGGCTACCATAAAATATAGGGGAAAGGTAATTCAATATTTTTCTAAGAAAGTTCTAAGAGCCCTTCTTAGCCTCCTGCTAGGATAGAAGTCCTTGAGTGGCAAATTTTTGAAAAAGAAAGCAGTTTGAAGATTTTGTTAACCATGCATGAGGTGATTACATTGGTTTCTATTGATCCCCTTAATATGACTTCTTCTCCACAGGGGAATGTAAGGAAGTCTCATTAGCCTTTTCCCTCATTGCTTCCTCCAGAACCTTCGGTTTTACATTTGAAGTTCTGAGTTGCTTCTTAGTTGGATTAAATCCCCGTTTGAAATCCATCAAACAAAGCTGAGTCAAGCAAGGAGAAGTTTGACTCATTTCAACCATCTCCAGTGTTATCTTTGGGATAAGAAAGAGACATGTTTATAAAAAGCTGGTTGAAACTGGAGTTTATTATCATATCCAAATCTCTCTTCCTCAGAAAACTAAAAACATTGGTGAGATAGGGCTGGAAAGGAGCACTTTTGGAGGAAAAAGTCCACACAGAGCTCCTTGGGAGAAACCTCCTCCCAGTTTTTTTTTTTTTTGGCTTAGCTAGCAGAAGAGACTACACAAACTGATG